CGGGCCCGCGGAAACGATGGAGTCGTCGAAGAACACCGCTGCACAACAGGGACAGGAACCGCGTCACGGCAACAAGGATTTTTCATGGAATATTCTTGTGGCAATCACTGCACCGCACCTTTCTTGCGCTCTTCTTCCCACCCCGCCCTCGCCGCGACTCTTGCTTACACCTCTCCGGACTGGCTTGTGTGCCCCGCTTGCTACGACCTGCAACTACAGATCCAGGTGGTCACCGGGCACCAGAACGACCTGCACTCGGAGCTGGACGCGTGCTTTACCCCGAAAGCGCAGTACGTCCTGTCGTCCTGTCCAGCCCGGATGACAACGAACGGCATCTACCCGCTGTACGCTTGGCCAACGGAAGACGACACACTTGCCACAAGATACTCTCCCAAGGGGCACTCGTCCGAGGTTGGCGAGGTCATCGCGAGCGCGTGAACGCACACTGCGCTGTGGATGGGCGCGGGTTTGGGACCGGGGTGTGGGATTTCATCTGCTGGTCGCTGAGCCCATTGTCTTGTCAAACCGTAAATTCCTAGAGAAGATTTGGCGTATTTTGGTGTGATGTCTAGTGAGTGTAGTTTGATCAGCTCGGACGCTCTACATTGGTCGAGATGGAAAATTTCCCTGCATTCTTGTTCTATCTCTGTCTTGCGGCAGCGCTGCCTCTGTGTACGTCTAGTCTTCGGTAGGGTCTCCTGGATGCGATTTTGAATTTTGAATTTTGAATTGTCGGCAGAAAGCAAAGTCCAGTTCCAACCTCAGTGCTATCGTTCATGTATTCCTTGCTGTATCAGGTTATGGATCGCGGTGCCGTCGGCGCTTGCACTTGCCTACGTCTTTCTCCGTTCTTTACGAGCTATGTCAACCTAGAGGGTTGAACGCCGCGGTTTGACGGCGAACAGTGCGCTTGTTTTTTAAGGTTCGGTAAACCGCGAAAGCACCGAACACCTTCGCCGCGAGGCTTGATTTCCCCCAAAACTGGCCCATGAGTCCCTTCACGCCCCCTCCCCCCCCCTCGGAAGAGGTCCCCTGGGAAATGTTTAGTCCCCGGGGTACCGTTGCACAGGCTTCAAGGTTCAAGGATATTATTGTATAAGCACGGCGCCGTTCCGTGGGAGGGTGGACTGTAAGTTTTCGGGAAGCACTGCTGTCTCTGTTCATGGGTCGGCGGCCGGTCAGCGGGGAGGATGCAGGAAACAAACACGAACCCCGTTATCCCACACAAGGCGCGACTGATGCACATGCCTCTCTCGTCTTTTATAACCTACCCGAACGCCTTGGTTTCGCACCCACCTTTTTGTTGAACACTTGAACACAGATGGTATGCCAGAAGGGAGCTCTCATGCACAAGCTCGTGTGGTTCTGCACTTCGCGCCGAGGGCGAGGAGATTTGTTTTCCATACCCCGCCCTCCACAGCCAGAGGCCCAACAAAGAAGAGCCGGATTGCAATTGCGGCTCGCCATTGTGCCGCGGGAAGATGTTTCAACGCTAACAGGACGTTGGGGAGAGGGGAAAATGGGGTTCTTATGTGATTGATGAACGTGTATGCTCACGTTTCTGTGGTTGTGGATAATGCGCATGTGGTAGGCATTTATTTGTGTTGTGCGGATTTTATGTAGAGGGGGAGGAGAGTGTGTGAGAGAGGGACTGAAGCCGGAGGCCCAGTAGACAAGACAACACCACAACAGCTCTCTCTCTCTCTCTCTCTCTGTCTCTCTCCCTCTGTGTTTGTGGGCGAGGGTGGAATTCCTTTCAGGAACTATCGACCACGACATTGAGAAGCGGTGTAGCATTTCCAGCAGCATTTCCAGCAGCAACAGCAACAGCAGCAGCAGCAGAGCAGCAGCGTGTGGGCTTGGTGTGGGTGTTGCTGCGCTGGTGCTCTTTCTACTGCTGTTGTGGAAGCTTCAATTATTTTGTTCGTTGTTGTGTACCAAAGGTGTGTAGCTGTACAATGTACAAGATTAATTTCTTTTACGCGTCACCACCGCTTTACCCGCAAGGTGGGGGAAAAAAACATGTGACGTGTTGTTAGGGTTTGTGCTGCATAAATCCTCTGGTGTGCATGCGAACGCGGTTGGACGCAAGAGCGCAGCTATTGAGAGTCAAGTGCTGAGCCAATCTTAGGTACAAAGGTTTCGGGCGTTTTGTTGATTATTGTTTTGCGGATCGACATGTCATGTTTTGCAAGAGAAGAATGCACGCATGCTTCAGGCAGTGGCATTTCGATAGTCGCGAAAAATGCAAACACTACTGTGCACTGTACCGAGCCAAACGAGGTTTGAAAACCGCCTACAAAGAAAGCGCCAGAAAAGGTTACTGTGTTTTGCAACGGCAATCCATGAACCTGCTCAGCATACAAGCGGTGTTGATGCCCGAGTGTTCCTGTTGTGCGGCGGCCTAGCGGTTGATGCACGATCGCATGCGGAATCTACTGCTGTTGTTATGCAACGAGTACATCATCGTTGGTGGATACCAGATGGCGACAGCCACCGCATCTACATAATCTTTTCAAACCTCCACCTCGAGGCAAATGTTTTGTGCACGCAAGGGCCTCAAGCACAAGCCTCAGGAGAAAGAAAAAAGGCGCGATCTCCCTGGTACGTAAAAACAAACCGATTGCACAGACACATTGAAACACTTGCTCCCTCTTTGCAAGTAACAATGGTACTCCAGTCGCCTTGCCCCGCAACACACCCATCCAAATCGCATCCA